TTTTTTCAAAAAATGTCCCCCACCAAAAACAAACATGCGAAGAGAATACAAGAAAAATGAAAAAAATTTAAAAGAATTAAAAATCAATAAAAATTTGAAATAAGTAGCACTTTTTTAAATTATACATTCCACATTAATTAAAGTCTTTTCTAAAAAACATAAAATCATGATCTTTATAAATGAATCTTGTAAAAAAAACTATAGTCTCCCATATTTGTAATGTAATTTGTTCAATGAAATTACTTATTTAGGTCTAAAAATATTATTTTATAGTATGTGTATAAAAATAATAAATATATATATAGCAGGTCGGATATCGGTGGGTTTTTAATTATGTAACCCTAACTCGTTCTGCATCTAAACTGGTACCCGATTCTTTTTTAACCTGATCAAATAATATTCAAATCGAATCAGATTAGATACGACGGGTTTTTGGATTAGCGGATATTTTTGCCCACCCCAATGCCCTACGCATTTCCGAAAATACATTTGATTAATACCTACAACTATTTTAATGGCTAATTTATTAGAGCCGTGACAATAACACTAGATTGGCCCTAAAGACAAAAACCGACAGCCGGTGAAGTTGTAATTGTCTAAAGTGTGGTAGTTCAGGAATGGATGGTATCTATACCATCCGTGTAATTTGGACGTCAACCCATGACTAACACCAAATTTTCACTTTTCTGTAACGTTACCATAGAGAAAAGCTGTACTTTTCTGCCAAAAAGCTCACACCAAAATTTCTGGAATCAGAAATCTCTACGTGTACTCAGAATTTAAACTACACCCATCCTTTAATCATAAGAAGTCATTTACTACTACATAATTGGCAAATTTAATGCAACATAAAATGGGATAGATGATAACTAGCTACTTCTCAGTTCTCACATGCCTAATTCAATGCAAATATTAATTATTCACAACCACTTCTCCACTGCAATAAAATGGAAAGAATTGCCACCACCCAATAATAAACACTCTCAACTGCAGGACCTTGCCACTTGGCTTTCTTGTGACCTGACCCTCACGGGAAACTTCACCTCATACTTCTTTGTCTATCAATTTGTTTCTTTATCCATTCTTTTTTGTAATGCTGAAATAGCCCAATATATTCTTATTAACCTAAATACTTTGATGTTCCCTAGCCTTTCTAGTTCTCGATCTTGCAAGATATGGGATTTGCGTTATCAAAGGTCCATATTTTATTCCTATAACTCTATGTTTCTTTTTACTTATTTCCAAGTAACCCTCCATATTTTATGACCATCTTAAATCGTATTGGATGATGGTAGATCAATAATAGAAAAGGGTTCACTCATTTGAAAAAAAGGAATGAGATGTTACTAATTTTTTGCAACAACGAAATTAATTTGGAAAAGCGTCTAAATATAAAGGACGATGATAAATGTAGGTGTATATATTTGCATAATAAATTAGGTGCCTGATCACTAGTTAGAGGAATCCTAAAACAAAATATTTAGCCATTAGAAGCTTCTTTCATTTTTTTATACTGAAACAAAGATGATACATATGTATAAGTCAATTGATCCACAAGAGAAACTCATGACATTACTTGTTATCTTGAAATCCCTATTGTACACTAGATATTGTTTCATATAACAATTTCCTCCTTCAAATAATGCAGCACCCGAAAGTTCGAGACATATAAAAAGATTAATCAACCGACATGGGTCAATTCAGCCAACAAAAATGAGAAAACAAAAATGAAATGAGAAAGACACAACGTAATAAGTTTACCTGGTTTGCAAGAAATGACCAGAGCCATGGTTCATTCCCATGTTGCCTGTCCCTTGAATAATCACCATATATCTGGCGACATTAGCTGTCGACGCCCATACCAGAACTAGGAGGCATTACCGCGGATGGCGCGGTGTTGTTATTTTTTTTAACACTAATAGCTATAGATGTATGTCGTATGTGTATAATTTGAATTTTAAATTTGAGTTCATGTTATGTGGCATGATATAAACCTGTTAGCGTAAAAAAATTATACACTGATAGTATATAAAAACCTTACTCAAAAATTAAATTGTCTAAAAGTCGAATATCATTAGAAAAAAATTGAAAAGAAAAGATTTAAGCGGAGGAAAATACTGGAACAACAACCTTGGAACATACAATCAAGGAAAATGATTCCTTTTTCACATACTTTTCATGGTTTTTTTTTTCACTTTTTCCCCCCAAAATGCTGCATGTGAAAGTCCCATGAGATTTTAAATTGCATGAGCAACTCACATCAGAACTTGATTTCCCTTTTATGGGAAGGAAAAAACGTCATGAAAGGGAAAAGAAAAATACTTAGATTAGAACCTTTTGTGGAAAGCAAATGTAAATTTTGAAGCAAATCGTGAATATAATTAGATCTAATGTGAGCTTTCACTGGAAATAATTCAATATGAAAACTATATTCTATATGTCCTCATCCTGAATTGTCCACATAAGACCAACTTATAAATCCACTGACTAAGAAATTAATCGAATGAAAGGGTTATTGGTTTTCTCTTTTTTGGTTTACTTTTGTGTTTTTTGTTTTTCTTAAAACTATAGGAGTAGTCCTTTTATAATTCACTTGTAACCAGACATATACTACCACATCCTTATAGTTGCTTTTGTCACCAAACCGTAGGAGGAAGAAGGTCGAAGTATTTTTCGATATTTTGCTATATACATCATCATAAAGCAAGAGTGGCTATGTTTGGATCTCTATACCATTATTTGGGAAAAAAAAATTCTATCATTCTTTAAATATATTTTTTAATTACTTTTTTATCACCTTGCAAAAAATATTACAATAACTAATACTAAAAAATCTTTTGCAAATAATTGGATCCAAACAAATCCAAGTAGGCTTTTTAGGTTTTCAAAATGTTCAAGTTCAAAAGTCAATTACTCGCCACAAAAGCAGTACACATTAAGGAAAGACTAAATTCGACCTGTTCAACACATATAAATGCTGTCCCCATGTTCTCTTTGGCATTCGACACATGCATATCTTAATCAATTCGACACTTACATTTCATATATCAACATTATACCTATAACTTCCTTAGAACAAACAAGTCAACTAGTTCATGCATCCTACTGAAAGTGTTATACTTTCCATTTTGAAATGTCCCAAAACATCTTTCATATTGAAAAAGTCAAAGCATTTTTTACTTTCTCTTTCCAATATAACCCTTCTTTCTAATCATATGAATGTTACTATTTAAATTTAAATTTTAAATTTGTGGGGATAAAATTAAAAAAGAAATACAAACATCACAATCAAACCATTATTCTTAAATAGTTGGATTCCCGAAACATGACTAAATAATTGGGATAGATGGAATAATAGTTAAAACCATATTTAAGTAAGCACAAAATTTTCCTAAATGACAGACAGCATGTGTTCTAATGGCATTAGATGTATACACTACGTGCAAAACTTGAAATTTAAATTCAATTTCTACACATATAACATCCAATGCTAATATACACACCGTCATGTGGCAAGAATTAATAATTTAAATGGACACTATAAAAATACAAGTGAATGGATTATATGTATATAGATTGGATTTGTCTAGACCTATAAGATACATAGATTTATCATTAGTTTTAGGGACAATTTCAGATACGTCCCTAGAGGTTTCTAACAATTACACTTAAATACCCTCTAAAATTAAAAATTACACTTACCTCCCCTCTGTGATAGATGTGACAACATGTTAGTACCAAAAGCCTCATAATGACCAACTTGCCCTCCAAATGTTGTGGCTAATATTATTGTAAAAATGTGAGAAAAATTTGCCTACAACAATAATATTTTTTTTATTTGCTTCTTGGCACGAGCATCTGCAAAATAAAAATTGATTTTGTCATTTCTCAATTGTTATCCCGAGAAGCAAAATTGATTTTGTTATTCCTCAACAGCCATAGAGAGGAAGAATGCCAAGAGTTGAAAATAGCATTCATTTTTTTATACTTTATTCATCTTATATATTGCCAAGATAGAGTCGTTGCAACCTGTCCAACTCTTCTTGCTTTTAACCATTAAAAGTGCATAATTGTATATGTACTCTTTGTTGTACTGAGAGGATCCCTACCTACTACTTTCATATTTTTTTCTCTTTTTTAATTAATTTTTATAAACAAAGTGGGAAATGTTCATTCATAATATAAAGAGGGATAAAGTTGGCAAAAACTTGTGTGTCGGTACCTTTTTCCCACTTTTTTAACTTTCTTTTAGTGATAGGAGTTGCAATATTTATCAAATGGGTCCATTAAAGGGAGGTGAGTGTAATTTTTAATTTTAGAAGGTATTTAAGTACAATTGTCAAAAATAGTGAGGGAGGTATCTCCAATTATCCCTTAGTTTTATCCCGTAAGCAATTAAGATATATATATATATATATATATATATATATATATATTAAGACGACTGTCGTGGCACAGGAACACACCTTCACAACCTGAGATCACCCCTCCTCTCTCTTTCTCAAAACTTCACCAACAAAACTCACTACAAATTCTCCCTGCGAGAATGGTTTCCTCTAAAGAGGGCAAGTCAGGCGGCCTGATCTACAACATGAAACTATCGTCGGTTGGACCGGGAAGATATACAGGACAAGACATCGTTCATGAGCCAAACGACATGGACTTAGCAATGAAGTTACACTACCTTAAAGGTGTATATTATTTTCCAAGCCAAGCATTTGATGGTTTAACCATCAGGAAAATCAAGGAACCATTGTTCATTTGGTTCAACCATTTCTACATAACTTGCGGCCGGTTTAGGAGATCAGAAGAGTCTGGCCGGCCAGTCATCAAATGCAATGACTGTGGTGCAAGGTTTATTGAAGCCCAATGTGATAAGACCTTGGATGAATGGCTTGAGATGAAGAAGCACGATCCTGCTCTCGAGAAGCTTCTTGTTTCTGATAAAATTGTTGGTCCTGAGTTGGGATTTTCTCCCCTTGTTTTCTTACAGGTATGCCTTGACTGATCTACCTGACACCTAAGGACTTCCTTTTTCTTCTTTTATTTTTAATTACAATACAATTAGCCCTTTTTATTTTGAACTTGGAAAGAAAGATTTATGTGTATGTTATGGATGTACGTATACGTTTTTATATATTGCTTCTCATGAATGGTTTTAAAGTTATAATACTATATATAAATCTTGTTGCCTGACCATCAATGAAACTGGAAATCTTGTAAGGTGTATGTAAGTATTATTTTGAACTTGGCAAGAAAGATTTTTGTGTATGTTATGGATGTACGTATACGTTTTTATATATTGCTTCTCATGAATGGTTTTAAAGTTATAATACTATATATAAATCTTGTTGCCTGACCATCAATGAAACTGGAAATCTTGTAAGGTGTATGTAAGTATAGAAATCTGCCACTGCAGCTAGTTAATCAGGAGGAATAAATGAGAGCTTGGCCGTATTTCTAACTTTCCCAGATTTCTTGTTGATGAAATAGGCACTTTAAGGTTAAAACAAATTGTTTTAGAGCCAAAATACCGAACAATTTCTTTTACAATTCCAAGATGTTCTTCTCCTTTTGTCCTTTTCTTTTTAAATCCAATTTTCCATTGTCTATCAAGTTTGAGTAAGGGGGATTAAGCCTTTCAATTAACTCTTAAGAGAATTTGGTTTTGCAGATATGGAATCTATAAGGTAATTTTAGTTGGGTTTTCCATTACAAGGCTAGTAATTAAGTGAGCAATGAAGTTCCAGAGTTGTGATGGTCCTCTCTTGTGTGATATCTTTTTTTTCAAGCTAATGATGTGGTACCAACACTAACATTAACACTAATTGACGGGCAACGACATTAAAATAAGGTTAGCAAAATGATATCCACAATTCTAATCCTCAACTCTATGTGATAGAGACAAGGTAAAATATGGTCAACTTTGTGTTTTTAGATATTCACACGTCTGTGTCTATCCAATAGCCATTGCTTACTTTCTTAATCACTTTTGTGATTGAATTATTGCACTTAATAGCATTAATGAAGAGAGTTCTAATCCCGCAAAGCACCAGTAAAACTACCATGGCAAAAATCTAAATCTCTGTTGAAATTAACTTATGCTAGTATTTCATTTTCACAATTAGACTTGCATCTTCAAGAAAAAACGTGCTAGCTATGTGAAGTGTGTGCACTGTGCAGACATGCATAGTTATTGCCTTCTTTGGTCAAGGGAGAATGCGTGCTCTGAAAACAGGTCCATAACTTCATAGTAACATCCTACAGTTCTGAATGTTAGGGCTTTGTTGACATGACACTTGATTTTCTTTTTATTTTTTGAGGAAGTGCACCTTCATTTTCACCTACTTGTCTAACCTTCCTATCAAAAAAATTTTAAAAATTAAGTGTCACCTTCATGAAAAAAAAAAAAATCAAGTCTACAAACAATTGCTATATTGATGCGTGAAAGTAGGCAATACCCTCTCCCTATTAGACTGTAAAAAAAAAATGGCCTATTTCATGAAATCAAGTTTGAAAAGGTTCTGTCTTGAATAGACTACTCTTTATAATTGTACTACCAAGTATAAAAAAAAAAATGACAGGTTGAAAGAGCAATGGTCCAGCCATTAATTGGGGAGGTCATGTGTAAGAGAAATGTGGAAGTGAATGATTGTAATTCATACAAATCCTGATACGGATACTTATGAGATGGTCCATCACTAAACTAAATCGATCTGTGGACCTTGCCAAGATAGTGCACTACTTCCATGAATTAAATTTTCAGTTACTGAGCAAAAATAGCTTTGAAAAATTAACATAATAGTAACTTAGGTTCTCAATAGATGATTTCTTTTTTATGATGTCTTATTTTTCATGTTAGCCCAATGTTTCAAATGGACATATTGTCACAATTTTTGCATAAAAGACTGCATGATCTAACTACCATACAAGATCACCCCAATGACTTGATGACAACTTTCTCTTTAGCACCAATATTAATAAAGTTTTGTAAAGTATATATATCAAGTCAAGAACATTTTGATCTGGTAATTAAGGTTGAGACCTAAGGAATTAGTAGTTCTGGATTCAGGTCTCATATTATCTCTTCCGATTTTTTAAATCCCACCTTGTTAAAATATTTTAAAAAATAAAAAGATAAATCAAATACTCTCTAATTTTTGACCAAGTGAGTATTTTATATAATTTTTTTTTTTGTCAAGAAACTATACTCAGAGAATTGATGGAATGTTTCTACTTTGTAATTAGGACATAATAATTTCAACCCCGTCATTGTCTTCGGTTTCTTGTAGGAGGCATACTTGTTTCTGTCTGAAGTTTATTTCATGATATTGTCCTCTACAAAATACTCAACCAACAGGAATTTCATTAAACACGTAAAAGTCAAAGAACATTATTGTTTTTGTAGCTTTTCACATTTATTCTTCATTTTTTTGGTTTTAATTTTCCCTGGGTTCCTTTGGCTACAAATATATATATATATATATATATATATATATATATATATATATATATATATATATATTTTAACTCCGGTTGCTTGTGGGAGATTAATTACCGCTGTCCTATTGCAGGAATCATAACCACACATTTTTTTCTTGCTCTCGAGTGAATTGTCAAAACCAATCAGACATGAAAATTAATGGGCAAGCAAACTTTGAGGTCCCATATCTATGACTGCTTTCAATTTTCAAGGTCCCAAACCACCAAGCATTCTACTTTAGGACCCATACAAATATTGCTCAGTCAAAGATTAGATTATTGTTAGAAATTTATCTTCTGTTTCTGACCAATTCTTCTGGCCAATGGAGCATTCCTAATTATTATTTTAAGTATGCCTTGATGGATATATACAAAGAGTGTTTAAGCATGCATTAATTTATGTCTTTCACTCTTCATGTGACTGGTAGTCCAAGTAAGATACATATTTGGCCATGATTGAGGTAAATTAGAATAATACAAAAAAAAAAGGTAGTTTTCATTGTGTTTAAGTTAAATTTGAAGAGGCAAAATATCAATTGGTAAATTCATTAAGGATAAGATGTGATTCAAATTCCGAACCTAACAGCAAAAAAAAACTCTAAAGAACCCTCCCCTAACCACCAAAAGGGTTGAACTTTTATACACCTTTTTGCGCAAAAATAACTTCTATAAAAAGTTGATAAGAAGCGAATTTAGTATCTTATAACGAGTGAATTTAGGATTGAGGGCTTATTTGACGTGCAAAACTAATTTTTTTTACTTTTAAATTAAGTTTTTTTCCTCTGAGTTATACTTTTAAATTAAGTTCATGGTATGAAATTTCAAAACAAATCGCCATTTTGCTTAGTTATTTGAATGTTGATTGTGTACAAGTTGGAGAAGATTTAAGTGGGTTTCAACTATATTTTGTCAATGGGCCTTGCATGCAGTACACAAAGTTCAAATGTGGCGGAATGGCAGTTGGGTTGAGCTGGACCCATGTTCTTGGCGATGCATTTTCAGCTGCAGAATTCATGAACGTGTTAGGAAGAGTCCTAGCGGGCGAAGAGCCCCAGAGGCTGCTCAACACAGCCCAATCACTCAACAAGAATCAAGATGCTGGAAGCCCAAAAAGTGTGATGGAGGATCCACTTTCCGTGAAGCGTGTTGGCCCAGTTGAAGACAAATGGATAACTGTCAATACCTGTAACATGGGGACATTCTCCTTCCATGTCACCCCTACTGAATTGAGCGACATTCAGTCAAAGATAAGTGGGAAATATGGCCCTAAAATTGCCCCTTTTGAGTCCCTTTGTGCTGTGATTTGGAAGTGTGTAGCCAAAATTAGGCATGGAAATGAACCAAAAGTCGTGACAATTTGCAAGAAGGATTCAAGAAACAAGGGAGATGGAAGATTGAGCAATAGCCAAATGATTAGTGTAGTGAAAGCAGACTTTGCTATTGCAAAAGCCAGCCATGAAGAATTGGCAGCAATGATCAAGAATCAGGCGATCGATGAGCGAAAAAAGATCGAAGAAGCTATGGAAAGGGATCAAGGGTTGGCTGATTTTGAGGTTTATGGCGCAAATTTGACCTTTGTGAATTATGAGGATGCCAATTTCCATGGATTTGAATACAATGGAACAAAACAAGTTGGTGTTAGCTATTGGATTGATGGAGTTGGTGATGAAGGGGCTGTTTTGGTGCTGCCGGGGCCAAATGATGGTGGCTTTGGGAGGATTGTGAGAGTGATTTTGCCAGAGAATGAGATTGTGGAGTTGAGAAGGGAGTGGTCTATTGCTTAAACCTGTTGAATGCACTCTTCTATCAAACTTTCTTTGGCCAAAAAAAAAAAAAAAAAAGAGTTTGAAGTACTAATAATTAGACTGTGTTGTGTTAATTCCTGCATTAAAGAACTCTTGGCTTTCATGGCATTGTAAATAAGGAAAATGTAAAGTTTGTGCAAGAAATAAGGCACAAGGCCTGTATAATACTTTCCTTTCACTAGTTTGAATTTAATTGCGAAAGATTAGCAGTTGTTTGTGATTAGAATGTATTAGTATGAGATTCTTGTGTTGTTTATGTTTGTGGCTCAAGAACAACCTCAATTTCACTCTTGAAATCCAAATTTCAAGTTGCCTAAGCTGGATTAGCAGTTGATTTAAACAACTAAATAAACCCTTTTCTTCTTTTTTTTTTTTTCTTTTTGAGGCTGCAACTGATAAACTTGCAAACATGTTAGACAGCAAAATATAGAACTAGGGAATTATATATTGTATCATCCACACAAAAAAGCATATTTGTTATCCAATTTGGCTTGAGCTGTTTCTCTTTTCCAAGCAAGAAATATTTATCTCTCTCTTACTACAAAATGAAGTGTTTGAATTTCTTACTCCTAAAAGCAATAGAGAAAATATTACTACTAGGAAGTTATTCTGAAAGAAGCATTTCAAAAATGCCATACGAGCCTTTGTGCATGAGAAGAATGAAGCAATACTTATCAAAATACTCAACATACTAAGTTGAAGTCCGCAACGACCTTTAATATTTCTGAAGACCATATCTTCGTTGATTTTCAGATCCACAAAAACTTTATTCCGATGCTTGTTTTTGTACACTAGTGAAAAGGATAGGGAATATTTGGTTATTCAAATTAATTTTAAGCATGTCTAGGAATATAGTTTTTTTGACACAAAATATTTTGTAAGAAAAAAAAAGATACAATAACCATGTTGATGTCCGTGTACCTCTACGGTACTACTTACTATTTTCAACTGGTAGGGACTGTAAGAACTTCAATTCGACTCTCAAATTATTTTCTTTTTCCTTTCCCTGGTAAGGGTTGGAGTTCTCGTTGAAGCAGGTTATTAAAATTAAAAAAAAAAAAAAAAAGGTTCATGAACCTGTTAGAAAGGATCCTTGTTGACAATGAGCCAGAGAGGCAACCGAACACGGGCCCAATCACTAATAAGAGTAACAAATCCAAAAGCCCAAAAGATGAAGGATCCACTTTTCATGATGGGGTTAGCCCAGGTCAAGACAAACTGATAATTAATTGTCAAGAACTGTTACGTGGAGGTAACGATAGCAATGGGGTGGGCGCCCCCCGGGGGGGCGGGGGCAAAATATTTCCCCTCCCCCGCCTTAAAACGGGGCAGGGGATGGGGAAACATATACCCGTTCCATCTCCCGCATATAATAATAAATATATATATATATATATAATACAATTTTAAATTTTTTAAAGTTATAGTCTTACTTACAAGTACAACGCTAGTCAGTGTCAACGGCCATCGCAATAACTGAAGAAATTTCTTGAACTATTGTTGATTTGTTTCTAACGCCCCCTCCCCCAAAGACTAAGCTATCCAATTCCAACATGTTTTGCTTCTAACTCTTTTTATTTCGATCGATTCCCTTCCTCCGCACTGAATGTAATTTGACTTGTTATGCTTTTATTTCCATCTTGACAGCTTTTTAATCTTATTTAACATTGTTTACAATTGTATTATTGTAAATAAATATTTATGATAAGTTGATTTCTTTCCCCGCGAAAAAAATGGGACGAGGAACGGGAAGAATTATTTGACAACGGGGCGGGCCACCTCCATATCCCCTGCCCTATTGCCACCCCTATATGGAGGTATATTGAATAAAAATAGCTGCATTTTAAAATTTTTAAGAGTCAAATTCTCACAACCAACTAATTTGACTCTTGAAAACAACTAATAGCACACTTTGATGTGTTGATTCCAGCATTATTGAAAGGCACTTTAGGGCAGTAAAATGAACAGCTGTACGAGTTTTCTCAGAAAACATATACTTAGTCAAATTTGATTATATTAAAAAAAAAAAAAACCGGGAACCTTCTTCTAGAAACCAGGAATGTCTTATTTCCACTCCCAATGAACGTTGTGGACAAGTGGCGAGTGTTTTTACCTTAAACAAAGCCTCTAGATGTTTGGAAGAAGTCTAACAAGATTGGGCATATCTCAATACTTCCATTTCATTGGGCATGTCCTGGTTGGTGAGAGTGACATATGATCAAACAGATGGCATCTATTTCGGTAAACTAGAATTTTGACCCGTGCTACGTACGCCAAATGCCCCCAATCAAATTAAAGAGCAGTACAGAGTATTTTCTCTCTAGTGTGGCCATGTGATGTCAGTTCTGTCTGTTTTTGTGGGTTAAGAACAAATCTCAATTTTATTATTATTTAGCAGTTGTTTGTGGTTAGAATGGTATTATGCCATAGGTCCTTGATTGGTTTTTCTCTTGTTCGGGAACAAAATGTTGCAAACTAGGAATATATGTATAGGTTTCCTCCATTTAATTAAGCACGTACTAGTTTTTATGTTCATTTGTAGATATAGCAGCCTCTTTATACTGACAAATCAATATTAAGGAACAGACGTTACAAAACTTTTCTGCAATGTTCAACAGAATCTTTTGCGTCAGAGAAGGGGCTAACCTGTAGCCCTTTCCGTCTTGTCTGCAAGTAAAATGGAAAGATATCTTCATTTGATTTTCACATCCACAAAAAACCTTATCCTGATGTTTGTTTTGTTCACTTGTGAAATGGAAACATAAAGGTAGATAATTTCACTGAACGCCCTTGAGATTTAAAACATTCTATATACCTCTCTTATCTTATCTAAAATGATACGATTAGCCTTAGTATTGTTAAGACAATCCATTACTGTTTGGATTGTAAATTATTTGAGATATTTTTACTGTAGCATTTTTTGTGATGTGATGTATGTGAGATAAAAAAGTAATTGGGAAGATAAAAAGGTGCGTTGAAAATTGTAATGATGATGTAAGCAAATAAATTTTAACTAATAATTCTCTATCCAAACAAACCTAAGTTATTGGTGTGCTTGTACCAAGAATGGTTTCCGAATTATATATTTCCTTTTCCCTTGCCCTTCTTACTCTTCCTTTCTATATATTTTGCGGGCAAAACCATGAAACTCCTCATATTGCCCATTAACCTCCATCCATCCATCGTGACGAAATGTCAAACTAGTGACCCTTTTTGATAACTTCAAATTTGATCCAATATTTTTTGCTAATCTTTATTTTTTATATCAAAAATCAATAATAGTTTCAAAAAAAATGACCCAAAATCACTTTCAAATTATGGTAGCTCCACCACTCCAAAAATTCACAAACTCTAAATAAAAATAAGAAAAAGACAATGGCAATACTTTTGTATCCATTCTAGAAATCTCTGTCCCATTCTCCAGTAAAGAACATCAAAAGTTACTTATCATAAAATGAGCGTGGGTATGAAAAACTTGGCACCTGTTCCCAGTAGTTTTGCTAAACTATTTTACAATTGTTTAGAAAACTATCAAATCGAATAAAGATAAGTGCAATTTTTTAAATCTTAGCGGAGCAAAGTGAAATTGCCTGAAACTTTAGGGTAAGGGGAATAATGGAATATTCCTCAAGGCGCAGTGGAGAAAAATTTTGCCTGGTCATTTTCAGTCATGAACTTCATTAATGGGAATGCAAATTGGACCAATTCCAGATGGATCCATCTCCAAGAAAATGAAACTCAGGAGCAACTGTGATATGATTGGCACCTTGTCGTGTCAAATCTGACATGAATTATTGGAGAGAATAAGAAAATACTAGCCACTTTTACCATTTAACTTCGCCTCCACAAAAATTCAAGATTCTTCAAATTGAGTGTGTTTGGATCGTAAGTTATTTGTCTAAATATATTTGTTTTCATCGTCATTACAATTTCTAATACATCTTTTTATCTTTTCAATTATTTTTTTATCTCACATACATCACATCGCAAAAAGTGCTACTGTAAAAATATCTCAAATAACTTACGATCCAAACACAAATATCGTGAAAGTTAACTCATCGTTAGGAAAAAATATATATATATATATGTATCGTGAAAGTTAGCTTCTCAGAAGATTGCCATGGAAATTGCTGGCAAGGGATTTCTGACTTCGAAGGGAATATGACAAACAGGCCTATGCAGATGGTTTACATGATTAGATCTTTTAAGCATACTAATATTTGAGCCACAGCCAGAATTTTGTTTCCACCAAAAAAAAAAAAAAAAAACAGCCAGAATTCTGTGGTCCAGCTCCAAGAAACTTTATCCTTGTATTTGGTTGAACCAGTCACAGCTAGACCTCAATGACCAGTCTTTGAAAAGAAAAAGGCATGGAAGAAGAAGTTTCAGCATCAGGAGTAACTTTCAGCACCAGGGCTCAGAAAACGAGTGGAATGAACGTCCCTCATTTGCGGACAATTTGTCCCAATTCATCATTCTAGAGTCTTTCTGCTCAGGAAAGCAAAAGTTTTGATCCCATCTTCGCAAGTTGCAGACAGCAGAGACCTGTTTTTTTGTATCCATCTTGAGCAAAGCCATTCAATTCATGATGGAGGTGCAAGTAGTTTTCGGGTTGAAAGCTGAAACCAAACACAGACAATATGACGAGCAGATGGAATTAATTCCATCGCATGCACAACGACAAAACCTGCATCATGATGAATATGACTATGATTATACCCCGGGACCAAGGCCTAACCGGTCATCAGAAAAACCATTTGAGCAGGTTTTGTTCAATTCCACATTATCAGTGGCATGCATGGCTTGCTCTAGTCATCATCAGGTCTGTTTTAGCTGTAAATGAGCTTCTTATCTCAAGTAGCAACCGTGGCTTCACTTTTATCAAACCCAACAATTTCTTCTGATTGGAAAACATGTGTGGTGAACGTTACTCCTAATCTGAAAAAATCTGATCTACTCTAGTACGGCGCCCTCCCTGATTTATTGTGCATCTGCATTATTGATGTCCCTCACATTTACAGTCAAGTATCGTGTTCATAATAATCAACGGCAAATTTCACACTAGGGTAGTGTGATTTTTTTGAGTATTTGTTTAAAATTTAATAGTAAGTATAACTTACTACTGTTTTAGAAACAGGTTGCTCCCCCTCACCCCACCATGGCAACCTTTGCCATCCGTCGTCGCTACTCACCTCCGCCACCAGCGAACTATCTAATGTCTGCATTTTTTTTTTCTTCTAGGTGTACTATGATACTATCACATATGGCACGTTAGGCAAAAATTTGGGTTGACCCGATCTATAGCCCCACACACGTAGATTGAGCGGTTAGAATGCTACCACATATGTTATATTACATAAAAATTTGTTGGAGCAAACCCGATCCATGACTCGAGCGGCTCAAAATTTATGGTATCATCTTACTTAGTAACTCGAACATTAAATACCCAACAAAGATACAGCAGGCCTGCCCAAGTTTTTGACGGTGTTATTAATAGAACTGTCCTTTAAAAATAAATATGCTGACAACACAACATGCCAAACCGACCCTTCAGTTTTCTTTGGGGTACAAACTTCATCTCTTCCAAGAAGATTTGTCCACGCACCAACCACAAGTTTGAGTCCTCCATTCATGGACTAAATTGAGGAAATACCAAAGCATTTTTTCTCAGAAAAAACAAGAGAAGCAGAATAGTATCATGATATCAGGAAATCCTGAAATCATCAGTTCTATGTACAAATCATTTATTGCTGCATATAGCAATACTAGTTACGCCTCTGCATATGCAACCTGCTGCTATCTGTTTTATAAATAATTGTTGCATAATTAGCAGTGGCACCAAACGTCAAGGAGAAAAATTGATCATAACCCTTAGCGCTGGCATGATTCTCTCCACTGTCCAGCCAAAAGTCAGACAGCCAAATCTATATACATAACCTCAAAAAAAGGGGAAAAAGGAAAAGAAAAACTGCGATTCAGGATTGTCAAGATGGTTCATTTTTTTTGCCTGCGCATTCGAGCTCCCCAAGACATACTACCAGCATCCTTGTACATGCTTCTTCTTTTCAACTCTGACACTTGATCCTGCCAACGGCTCTTCCATTCACCCTTTTCCTCCATTTGCTGAATCAGTGTACGAAAAACAATTAGATGACCAGAACAGACATATTATATTATAAGGTATGCGCTAGAGTTTCAAATAAGAAATCGCTACAACCACACAGTATCATTCAAGGAAGCTTTGTATTTCAACAATAACTCAACACCTGATGTTGGTCTTTTATGTCTTTGTCCTTCTAAAATTAAGTAAAAGTTAATACACTAACCAGAGTAAAACTTCTGAACAGTCAATAAAGAGATGAATATTGCAGGCACAGATGCATTAAAATCAGGAACATATCACACCAGATGAACATGAAAAGAAAAAAGAGAAAGGAGTAAGTTTCTGATACATGAATACAGGAAAATGGAGCAAAGATGACAATGGATGACGCAAAATTATTTTCACGCACTCAGAGGCACATAAAGTTCTCAGGATGCCCTCAATTTTGATAAATCATTTCTTAATAGGATTTTGCAGGAACAAGTTCTGAGAACATGCATCCAGCTTAATTGAATCAAGTCAATATGTGCACCACCTAAAGTCAGCTCTAGAACAACCAAGTAAGCATAAGAGCATAAACGTCCCAGACCAGCCATAGAAAATCCTGCAAAATCAGACTAAAAATTCCGAACATTGACTCTTTTGACAATCCAATACAGCCAAGATGAAACAAAAGATATATAAGTCCGACAACACTCCAAAAATCTTATGGAATAGTTCCACTGGAGAGAGATGATGAAGAAAGGATATCCTTTTGTTAACACCCAATATCCCATTGCAGAGAATCGATTTCTTTAAATTTCAACTTCTTCATTTCCTCTGCTCTCATCAAAGCCCCCATACTCCTGCACTTTTTTCCACAGAAGTCTATAGAAATGGACTTAAAAGTAGATTTCTCTGTTTGTGGAATCGCCATTAAATCATCAAAATTTCTAAAAATTTGTTAAAGAGTAGAACCTTTCTATAAATAACCCCTAAAACATGAAACATAATCAAAAAGGAAAAAAAGTAAAATCACAGAGAAATACAACAACAGAAAAAGGTAAATTGATCAACCAAAGCAAAATAACAAGAGGGGAGAAAAGAACTAACATCATCATAATTCTGGTATCGTCTGCGGGAGCTGAAGGCTAAGTGGAGCCCCTTAGCCATATCCCTGTCATAAAGGGCCCTTCGATTAGGATCCGACAAGGTCTCATAAGCCTCCTGCACCCGAATGAACCTCTGTGTATACTCCTGGACCAGACCCGGAGGTGACACATCCGGGTGGTACTTTCTAGCAAGCTGCTTATACGCCTGTTTGATCTCTAACAGAGAGCCCGTCTCGGGGATGCCCAGAAGATCATAAAAACTGCATGGCTCCTCCACCGACACAGCGTCCTGCAGCGTGGCCCTTGCGGAAGCAGCCGCGTACCGGGATCCGACCCGGATCCTCAGAGCTTGAAAATCAGATGGGTGGATGGGGAATGAGATTTCGGAAAGTGGGTTGGATCGAGATTGAGGCCATGGGAAGGAAATAGGCGGGTACAAGTTGAGCGTGGCCCTTGTGGAAGCAGCCGCGTACCCGGATCCCACCCGACTTCCAACCCGGATCCTCAGGGCTTGAAAATCAGGTGGGGGGATGGTGAATGAGATTTTGGTAAGTGGGTTGGATCGATATTGAGGCCATGGGGAGGAAATAGCAGGGTATAAGGGGAAGAAGCTATCAGTTTTAGAGGGCAAGACGGCACCACAGCCATAGCTGTTGCTGAACATTTCCTGAATCTAGCTTTCAGTCTGTACAGAACTAAAAAATTCTTGAATCTTTTAGTTTTCAGCGTACAATTTTCTGTCTTTTGAGGGGACTTTATACAGGGGAAGTGCGGACATGCAGTGTCTGTTCAGTAATGGGGTCTCGGGCAGATGGGAAGGTTCTCTGAGCATTGACAAAGGTGGTACAACGTTGATTCGATCAGTCGAACTCAATTTTGTTTGGATATCTTTTCTTTTCGTTTACGTAAATAAATATATTTTTTAATTTATCTTTTATTTTATATGTACCTTATTATAAAATAATATTACAATAATTACCCTAAATAATACTTTATTCAAACATTGTGGATAATCACAGCAGAGCATGGGACCCGTTTAAAATTTGTTGGACACTTTTTTCATAAGGGATAATTTCAGAAACCACCTCCGAGATTTCTTATAATAATATCACTTAGCTCTTCTAAGATTTTTAAAATCTCACTTACCTCCTTTAGATTGATATTTCTTATAACATTTTAACTCCTTTAGAAGAAATCCAAGAAAGATAAAACTTTTGTTTCAATACTATCCTTATGTTATCCCACTCGTGAAATTTATAACAACAATAAAAAATAAAATAAGGTTTAATTTTTATAACGTGTAAATATCTTAAAAAATTCACACGCATGAAGAGATTAGTTTAGTTTTCAATACAACTTAAATTACACTATGAATTAAAATATATTTTTTCAAAAAAATATCTTGACTTCCTTAATTGTAACTTAACTGTGCACAAAATCTTTTATGGTATTAATTACTCACAAAAAATCCCCCTAAGTGATTAAGCTTGATTAGATTTAATTTATTCACGTCTTTTGCTATCTCACCACAATCCCAATGTAAAGAAATATGGACCATTATTAGCTAAAAATTGATTTTTTTTAATTTACATTTTTTGCCTTTAAAATTTAGTTTGTTTTTGGCTTTTTGATTAAATAGTTATTAAGAGCAAGGGTAATGTTGTCAATTTGTGACATTTGATAGGAATATTTAGTCTTATCAAGTTGACAAGGGAGGTAAGTGAGATTTTAAAAACTTTAAGGAAACCTCAGGGGATACTATGACAAACCTCAGGGAGGTTTCTGAAATTATTCCTTTTCATATACATCTAGATTCCAGAAGCAAAAGGGTAGACTTGGGAACTAATAAAATAAGATATCCAATGTGTCCGCATTAAATTATTCCTTTTCGAGCAACTGTGTCCACATTAAAAACGAAGACTTGGAAGCTGTGCCCACGTCAAAAAAAAAAAAAAAAGAAGAAAACACACTAAAAAAGTTTGATTTTTATTTCATTTTTTAAATTCAAAGTAGACTATGTACCTTTCGAAAGAAGGGAGAAAGAGACAGGTTAATGAGTCGAAAAAAAAATTTCATGATTATTTAGAGTTTTTGAGGTTACAAAATTTGACGTACTTAATTTGAAATTTCGTCTCAACTTTCTATATGAACTTGTAAATATATTGCAAATCGTTCATTAAAATGTTAGAAAAAGAAAAATGTCAACACTATGGTGTGAATACAACCTTTCATAGTTTTTTTTTTTTTTTTTTGCATTTTTGTTGGATAGAGGAAAAAATACTTGAGAAGAAATTTAATACTCCACAATTTCTTTCTTTTTGAAAAATTAAGCTAGAAAGAAAAGAAAAGTAATTAGAAAATGTCACGTTCAAGTCTCCTCCAAATAGTGAAAAAGTTTTCTTGCCAAAGCTCGGATAAAAAGACAATTATAAGGGAATGTTTCATCGTATCATATTGCCCTTGAATATTGACCTGTTTCCATTCCTTTAGAAAGTTGCACTTACTCAATTTGTAGAAGCATTATGTGAATGTTTTATCGTTCAAATTTGTTCATCAAATAAACAAATCAAGTTTAAACAAATTTTCAAACTCGTTAAAATAATAAAACAAGTTTGAATACTAAGGAATTTGACTTAATTAGATTCATTTACACTTGTACCTATATAAGAAGACAGAAATATTACTACATTGTTTGGATTGTGAATTATTAGAGATATTTTTACTGTAGCACTTTTTGTGATGTGATGTATGTGAGATAAAAAGGTAATTGGGAAAATAAAAGGTGTGTTGAAAATTATAACGATGATGTAAGCAAATATATTTTGGCAAATAAACCGCAATCCAAACAAAGTACGTAGTGTTTCGGTGAAAGACATGGGAGGTTTCCCGTGCTCTAGCTCTGGTTATACTCTTTTTCTGCCACGAAATGAAAGTGTTTGGATTGCTTTGAAAAATTGCTATGTTTTTCATGTATACATTTTTCAATTACCTTTTTATCTCACATATATCAAATCGCTACAGTAATTTTTTTTACAAAAAATCTAGAAAAATGCAATCTAAACAAAGCAAATTTGTAAACTTGCACATAATAAAAAAATCACTTGCAAAACACCACATAATGCGATAAACCTTTTTCTTTTAACTTATTTAACTCGATAAATCAGTTCTAGGGAAAATCATATGCACTTACCAACATAGAAATTACCATCTCAAACTATACCAAAGTTTCTCGTAATCTCCATTACTTATTAACAGCTTGTTTGGACATTGGAAGCACTACTGTCTATTAATACAAAAAGACCATAACGTGCTTTCAACTATGCAGGAAATTCCTTAAAAAAAAAAAAAAAACTATGCAGGAAATGATTAAAAAGAACTTATCTATCATAAACTATTAAAAAGAACTTATCTATCGACTTACCATGTAGGTAACTTTTAGGGAGTCGCTATTGCCAAGACATGGACATGATATTAAAGTTTTGGTAAGTTATAGTATGAAACAAGAAAGAAAAAGTACAACATGATATTGTCGTCCTATTGTAGATTATTTTTACACGCTGCAGTTAATCTAGAACGACTAAAATAATAGTTCAATTCTACTTTTGCGTCAGTCAAAAGCGTTTTTCCCTATCAAAAATCAATCACTTGGTAGCGTAGAATTGCAGTAATAATTAGGCATGCAATTCACAAGTCGCAACACAACATCAATCACATAATCCGTCCCAAAGCCATGAATTCTGATATAACTTTTGCAGATTGCTCCTCTTCTGCACCCCCCGAAGAGTTTTATAATACCCTATGATCCCCTAGAAAATAAAAAATTTAAAAGCTATTAAAAAGGTTACCGGGTATTTACAATAAAGAATGATATTTTAAGAGGAAAGGTTTTTGATATTTTTCAATAAAAAGTTTAATCTTAACAATTATAGAATTTGTAAGGTTAAGGATTGGCTCACTTGCAACTTTGTGTTTGGATAGGAAATTACTTAGGATAATTTTTTAAAAATATACTGTAGCACTTTTTTGATGTAACGTATATGAGATAAAAAGGTGATTGAAAAATATACTAATAATACAAACAAGTCAGCGCATGTAAATAAGGTGTAAATAATGTGTAAACGAAACAGCTATTTGTACCCCTATGCTATCAAGGTTTAACTAGCAGTTTTTACCATAAACTTATTAATTGTAACATTTCTGTCTCTTATTCTATTAATTTGTTGCACATTTTGCTCAAATAAATAGAAGAAATTTAATACCCCTAAGATATAAGAGAATTTTACTAAACAGATACAAATTAGCGTTACTAAAGTCTTTTATTTGAAAAGTATTACGCAACATTCATTAATTTCCAACTAGCTTAAACAATGTACCACAAATTGATAGATTTAAGGACTAAAATGCCCAAATCGATAGTGTAGGGTGCCAGTGCAATTGATAACAGTTGAGGTTAATCCTATGAGATTTTGTTGCACATCCTTATTTATGTTACCAGAAAAATCACCCGCAAAGCAATGACGTGAAACATAAAGTTTTCGGATTAATCTTTCTTACAATTTTAATGTATACGTTTATGAGAATGGATGCATGTCATGTTATCTGAATTTGAATTAAAAAATCAAATTTGTATATGTGAAATATATCTAAACTCAGTTTGTATTTACACTATCTGTGCATAAAAGATTTACATAAGATTTTCAATTCATGAGATGAAGTGTAGAAGATACAGAGCACTCTAAATTACAGCTTTCTCATATTAATTACATCTATTATTTGGTGGGATCTTGAAAACACGGTCAATGTTGAGACCCGTTTTCACAAAGATGCCTTGAGATATTAATTACTAGAAAATAGTAGAAACAAAAAAAGAGATTTATACAATCTGACACTTATAACTGCCCATGTGTGGTTCGTTCTGTGCATAGGATATTATTTGAGATAATTTTATGAAAAAAAAAATATTGTAACATTTTTTTAATATGATATGTGCGAAATAAAAAAAATAATTAAAAAATGTGTTAATTTAAATAAGGCGTAAATAATTTGTAATCCAAACTTATAACTGTTGGTTCATATCTTGTGCCACCTTTTCAATTTTAACTTAGAAGGAAAATGACTAAGGGTGGAAAACTAACTGTTCCTCGTTAAAGCTTCAACTTAGTGGAAGATTTTGGAAACAAATCAGGCAATGACTCATTTTTTTTTTTCTTTTTAAACCAGGTTGCTGCCTCAGCACTACCAATTTCATCTCCCTTTCCACCAAATTGATACATTCAAGTGTCCAATTAAACTTTCATATTTGTGACTTTGAGAAGTAAAAAACCGACAAAGAGTGAAAAAGGAAAAGATCAAAAAATTCATTCTATCGTGAAAATTGAGCTTTTGCTGTTAAAAGCACATCTAGTAAAAGCTAAAATTTGGTGGTAAAGACACAAGGGATCTCAATTATGACCTACAAAAATATCTTATAACGAGTACTTATTAGACACTTGTTAATTAAGCTGCTGTTGATTCGATTCGATTTGATTTGAATTGGACCTAAAACATCGTGATAAAGTTGGAGTTAAGTTTGGTAACGTTATTAATCATCTGCATGTGCCATGTGACTTACAAAAATATCATATAGCGAGTACTTATTAGACACTTGTTAATCGATTTGAATTGGACCTAAAACACCATGATAAAATTGGAGTTAAGTTTGGTAACGTTATTAATCATTTGCATGTGCCATGTGACCTACAAAAATATCATATAGCGGTACTTATTAGACACTTGTTAATTAAGCTGCTGTTGATTCGATTTGATTTGGACTTAAAACATCATGATAAAATTGGAGTTAAGTTTGGTAACGCTATTAATCATCTG